AAAGCCGACCTAAAAGGGTCAAAAACAAAATGATTCTCCACTAATTTAATTACGCCTCACAAAAACATGGAACATCTTCCTAATTTCCAACTTTGTCCAAATCTGTTTTGTCCAAATTTCCATAACTCGATCATAACAACCATAATCTGTTTTGTCCAAATTTCCATAACTCGATCATAACAACCATAATCTGTTTTGTCCAAATTTCCAACATCTTCCTTATTCATCAATTCTTGTCTGATCGGGAAAAAAATGAGCCGTCTCCGAGCATTTTCATCGCCGGATTTAGTTCCTTCTGGTTCTGGATCTATTACATCACCAACAAGAACAACAGAGCACCAATCTCAGGAAGATTCTGGTTTAGAAGGTAAATCAATCATATTCATCTAATACTCTTCCTCAAATCTGATTTACGTTGATAAAGATCGATTTAGAGAGAACCCATTTTATCGAGTTTTTTTTGTGTGTGTGTTTCCTTTTGGGACAAGAAAGCAATATTTTTTTGTGACTTGTATTACAAGAAATATGTTAAAATGTGTTCTTGCTTTACTTCTTTGTGAAGGGATTTCTACAAACGTGAAATTACTCCTGAAACTCGTTCAAGATCACAACGAAGCAACCTCGAAGCACCGCGATGAATGGAAAGCGCAAAGAGTCAACACGATGATGATGATTCTCGATGATTTAAAGACACGAATCCAGAAAGCTCAACAACAATCATCATCAGAGAAAAAAGAGCTTAGACGTTGCAACACAGATCTGAAACCAAGGCAAGATACGAACAAGAATGCGGTAAAGCCGCCACTGAACGATCTTGACGATATCCAGAAGGTGAGAAGAGAGCTAAGCGCGAGTATGACTACAAGAAAGAGTCTTCAAATGATGTGTTCAAGTTTAGGGAAAGAGAAAGAGATAATGGCTATGGAGCTTTCGAGGAAAGCTCACGAATTGATTGAAATGGAGGAGCTTGTTAGTGATCTCAAGGCTCAAAATGACAAATTACTTAAGAAAGTTCAGAATTGCGCGGCAGAGCATAATAAGGAGAAGAAAGGAGATGGTGATGGTCAAGGAGACAACGATAGATCTCTTCAGGGAAGAAACAAAGAGTTGTCCGAACAGCTTCTTAAGTCTATTGACGGATACCGGTCGCTGAAAAGACGATACAAAGATGTTCAAGAGGAAAACGGATCGATGAAACAAGTACTTAGAGATTCTGCAGAACAAGTGAATGTTGGGACTCAGAGACTCACCGAGTTGCAAGAGAAAATCACAAGATCAGATGAAGTGGATCTTGAGAATGAGATATCAGATCTAGAGAAGTTGTTTCAAGGGCTTGAATTAAAGATTTCAAATCATTCCCAGAAGAAGTAAAGAAAGAGAGATTCTATTTTTTTGTATCAGAATTCAGATTCTGATAATATAATTTTGGAAACTAGTCACTAGAATTGTTGGTAGGTAACAATGATACACAGGCTTGTCTCTCATAAATTTGGATTTAGTAAGTTGCTTATAGGTTTATCGGAACCCTTAATCCGTCGTGAGCAAGCTGTACATGGATTCCTTCCCTATAAATCAGCATAAAAGAAAAATCCATTAAGCTTTTAAGCGATGAGGATTTATATATAGAAATGAGACAACATTTTTTCATCAAGTACCTTTGAGACCATTCCGCGAGTATCACATTGTATTCATCGTGATCATAATCATGTGTCATACCCGTTAAAAGAGCTCTCTTTGGACAGAGCCTCTTCAAGATCTCAAGAGCCTAAAGAACAAGAATGTTTCACTTATCTTCAAAGCTTAGAATAGTGTAAACATTATTTAACAAATGTAGAAAAACATTGAAACAAACCTCAGGAAAACAGAAATGTGTGGGTTGTGTTCCTCTCTATTGTCAAGGAGATATAGTCAGAAACAGAAAGTTTTCAAGAACGAAAAAAATGCGGGAAACAAAAGTTTCAAAATTATACAACCTTAAATGGTATATTTGTATCCAGGATAAGAAGATCTATCTGTCCAGCCCCGGCTTTGGAAATAGCTGCATAGTCAAAGATTCATTAGAAGATCAATCTTTTCGCTTTAGCAGAAGCGAAAACTAAGGTTATTAATATACAATAGTTAGCTCTCTTACCATACTCAGTACTCGGTGGGATGCGAGATACATCAGATATATAAGCCACTTTACTTTTCTCGCCGAAAAGGAAACCTAAAGCAATGTAATCTTCTCCATGCATTACCTAAACCGAATCATTGTTGAATATATAAGGTCTCAGGGAAAGATCAGAATGTTTTCATTTACTCAAAAGTCTAAAGAAGTTTAACCGGAAGAGGCGTGAAAGATAATCCCGAGGCAGTGAATGGTTTATCACAATTCTCTTCGATGATTCTCCAGTCGAGCTGCGAAACCCGTCTAGGTACTTCTTTAACCTTCTTTTCAACCAAATAAGGAAACCTCGTAGCAATACTGCGCGTAAATGCCTTAAAGTCTCACTCGCATTAAAGAACACTAATCGAAAAAAAAAAAAAAACCCGAAAGTTTTTGTTTACCTTTCCATTGTAAATTGAGATAGAAAGACAGGAAGTGGATTAGTATCAATGGTTGAACCGCGAGGTTGCATAGACCGAATATCATCTAATCCAAGAATCGCATCCGCATGCTCATGAGTTAGAATGATCTACACAAATCATACAATCAGTAAAAGTTATCGATTTTCATTTCAGACGAAGCAACGCAAGAAAACAAAGAAGATAGCATATAAAAGGGCTTAACAGAATCGATTCGGGGAATCTTGTAGAAGGTAAACCAACGAAGAACTTGTTCTCTGAAACTCTTCCCAACATCAATAAGTATGTAGCAATGTCTACCATCTTCTCCCTCGCAACAATAATCGATCAATAACGATGTATTGCATCTGCCAAAACCAGAGCATCAAGATTCAAGATTGGATCAAAGAGACCAAAAGGTGGTTTATTACAGTCATCAATCGAAACGTTAAATGATCTAAACCCAACATTTCCGGACTATTCTCCCAAGAAGAACCCTAGAAATCGGTTAAAACCCGAAATCCCAAGAAGAAGAAAGACAAGATTTTAACAACAGAGAGCACAAAAGATCTCTCTTTTTCAATCAAGTTTCAATCTCCATGGCTTAAAAGAGCAAAACCCAAAGAGAGATTGATGTCGAAAGAGGAAAAACACGTGCCTGTAATTAGGGTTTAGGTGAGGCAGAACAGAGAGGGACTTAGAACAGACATGACAAGGAGGATCCGATGGTTGAAGTAAGCATCTGAAATCGGGAACTGCACCGGAGCAACCAGTTCCGAGGAAAATCAGAACCGTTCGATCATCATCTTCACATCCATTCTTGTCCATCTTCAAGATTCAGATCTTCTGGTTCTTGCGAGAGTTGACTTAAAAGCCAACGGCTATATGTTTGTTTATTGTATTAGTTGAGAATTTGAGAAGATAGTGGTGGAATAAAGAGACAATGCTGTCTTATTCTTTGTGTTTTCTAACACGTATAATATAGAATAAATTTGCTAAAGTAACCCAAAAAACTTTTATAATTAGAAAAATGACTAAATTGTGGAGATTCCATTAAAAAATTATAGGGGTTTTGGTTATTTTTCAATATTGTAAATTTTTTTGGATATTTAATATTATTATTAACATGGAATATTCTAGTTATAACTTTGAGATTATTACTGCATAAAGTTCACTAATTTCATCTATATTTGACTTTTTTTTGTAAGATATTCTAATTTTCTAGATTTCTTTACACTTTAAAAAATATTTTTTTGTGATTTTAATGAACTCAATTGGAAAATTTTAAACATTATTTCTCATGACAAAAATTAGCTTTAATATTTATTTCTTAGTTTTTTTCCTTTCATTTAATATTTTATCAAAACAAGAAAAAATAAGCTTTTAAAATGAGTTCAATTGGACGCATCATACATATTTAAATTAGAATATTTCTTTTCAGTTGGTCTTTGCGTTAAGTTTCTTAAAAAATAGAGGGTGAATTGGGGAAAATAACATTTTTCCGTGGATGACTTAGGATTTTAGCACTTTAAGTAAATAGGTGTCCGTTTGATACTTTATAATAATTTTTGGACCGTTTTGCCTTTTTCGCGTGTGTTGATGATCTGAGTCGAGTGA